CTAAATTAATTCTCTAATCTAAAAAGTAACGGTTTTACCTCAGTCAGTTTCATGCTGGGTTTTATTTTAGACACAGCAGCAGCTGTTGCAGACATTGTTGTTAATTGATCCTCTGCCAGAATGTCTCCACCAGCAGGTCCTAATGAGAAAAATATAGACAGCAAATCATCTAACTGTTGACAGGAAGATTGGGTGAGAACTTCAGTGTAATCTGAGAAGAAGCAGCAAAGGAAACGATTAGAAAAAAAAAACTAAGGAAAAGTAAATTCGACATAACTGACCTCTGAGTTTAGAAGAAGACAGCAGATCGTTTGCGTTGTCCAGCTCTTTCTCAAGGCCTTGGATCCTTTCCTTTAACTCGTTCACTGATTTTTCCGACACACCGTTAATCTCCTGCAGCTTTTCCTCAAGAACCTTGTTGGCTAAAAAATAAATAAAGAGATAGAAAAAAGGAGAAAAGTTCAGAATTACAGCTGAAAACTAAAATTAAGAATACCTAATAACTGCAGCTGGTTTACATGAACTTATATTTGTTTGACAATAAAACAGGCTTAAATGAGGCACGCTGACTTTTCAGTTTTTCTGAAAACCTTTTATAACCTATCCAGGGGTCTGTGTCAGTTCTGTCCATTGGGACCAGAGCAATCTATAGCTGGAGCAGTGATGATTTTAAGGAGCATGGAGGTCCATCATCCGAAGAACAATCCAAATCAGATGCAAATCAGACCCACCCATTGTTTTCTTGAGTTGTTAGAGTCTGCTGCTTTGCATTTGGCCATTTGAATCATGATGAGACTACTTAGGTTACTGAATGAATTCCAGGACCAAATTTTTGTTCTTTGGAAGCTCGAAATCCTCCCACTTTGTTCAGTGATGGCTTTCTTCAGTTTTAAGTAACAAAATAATTTGTCAGTAGAAACATAAGCCCAATTATTAATTCAAGAAAAATATCAAATATTTGTAACATTAAAAAAGAAAAAGCAATCCAAGTATTTGGTTTCCAAACCCCCACCTCCTTGACTCTACAAAATTACTTATCCACTGGCTTAAAAACCGATTCTATTTTCTGCCAAAACAAAAAAAATTACCTGAAAGGTTCTGCTATAAACAACATATGTGGCCATGTGGGTACATAAGAAACTCCACAATAAAAATGAAATATCTTTCTCAATTAATAAGTCATTAAAACAATATTATAATCCCGTCTTTGCGGGTGTATTCAAAGTCTGAACTGAAAGCCTGGGTTCCTACCTTCTCCTGCATCTTTCAACAGTTTGTGCAGCTCCTCCACGGCCCGACTCAGCTCCTCACTTTTTGCTTCAGAATCTGCTGCTGCCCCCTGTCAGAACAAGGAACAAGGAACTCAACATCATCCTTAGGAAACTCTCCAATATTTTAGAGCTAAATTAAAGAAGCCACTTGAGAAACTGGCAGTGAGAAGCAAAATTAACTCCAATGGGCAAATATGGTGGACTTAAGACATTCTGGGCTAGACTGTCATCAAGTATTGTGTGTATGTGTGTGAAATGCTGTTATCTAATAGGACCAGTCGTGTGGAATATTGTATTCATGGTTCTTATGATTTTTATGAGAGTAGCTCATAAAATTATTTTTCTCTGCTGCACCGTCTTCATTCTGGTCGCACTGGTAACTAAAATCATTCTTTCCATCTTTTAACTATATTGAAAGACAATGTTCACATCTCTCAATTGTATTTAAACTATCAAAGCCACCCCTTGAGACGATGTTCTGATCCACCTGCAGCTGCGGCGATGCAGGTTATTGGGTAGAGAAAAAGAAAACACTTTGACAATATTTTCCATACCTTGTATAAATTGGAAAGTTTAATGTTGGCATTCAACTCATTGCGAAACTTCTCCTCCATGATGGCCTGTTGCTCTTTTGCCTGAAAAAAGGAGCAAATCAGATCAGTGATCCCAAATCTCATGCATTTCACAACAAGCGATTCAAATGGCAATATGAGGTTGGAAATACACGTACGTCTTTCAGTTTGTTGATCATGTCTTCATTTTGCTTTTGAAGATGCTCATTTGAAGTTTTCAAACTGGTCACCTGATCGTGAAGTTTGGTTAACTGCAAATCAAATTATTAAAATGAATAAAGCCAGAAGATTCTAAGAATATACATCATTTCAACTACAAAATATTTCTACAAATAAAGAAATTTAGCCAACCTCATCATCTTTATTCTCCAGCAAACATTTCAGCTCCAAGATGTCATTCCCCTTTTCCCTGGAAAGAGAGAGCAGCTCCTCCGTCTTTGCCTTCAGCTCCTCTTTAAACCAAGACATCTGGCCATGCAGGAGCTCCTTCTCTTGTTCCATACGCTTCTCCTTGTACTAAACAGATGAAACAACTATGACCAATAGCTCATTTATAAGTTAATATTTATAAAAAACAAAAATCATCTCAGAACTCACCTTAATATTCACCTCTGAAGCTTCAAGTTCATCCACCTTCCTCTGCAGAGCCATCTTGGAGGTGTTCACTTCCACTAATTTATCATTCAGCTGCCTCAAGTCATCTAAAAGGGCAAAACAAAAAACTGGGTATAGTCATGTTCTTTTTTAAATACATAAATAATTATATTATTATATTATAATACAATAAATAATTAAACAGTGTACAAATCATTCGTTTAAGTCCCTACCATTTAGATTTTCTACTTCCAGAGATCTCTTTTCCAGGGTTCTCACGAGTTCCCGCTTTTCTGCCTCCAAATCCTCTTTGACTTTCGAAAGCAAGGTCTAAAGAGAAACAATGAAGGGTTTTACTGCAATATATGGTGGAAGAGGTCAGGGACGATTTGCAAATAAAATTTGAAAGTGTGGTTGAGAAAAAAAAAAAAACAGCTGTTTGATGTGTAAACAAACATCCTGTCATAACATAAAACAAAAGAGGATGGTACAGGCTGTCTCCTGGCACAAATTGTGTAAGAAAAATAAAAGACATTTTTTAAATCTAAAAGTATTTAGCTTTTTAGAACCATGATAACATACAGTGGAATCTGCTTATAGTGGTCACAAATATAGTAATCAACTGCTTATATAGATCACAAGGCTTGGGACAGAATCATTTCTATACAAATGCTGTTTAAATTATTGGTTTATAGTAATCAAGAAATCGGCTTATAGTGTTCATTTTTGGCCATTTTATGAATGTAAACATGAGCAAAAATCATTTTAAAATGACGTGTACATCTCAGAGGTATAAGAGCGCTTTGGTAAGGGTACCAGTGCTGCACGCAGCGAGGAGGGGGAGGATGAAGAAGAGGACAATGTTGTCCCTTCCAGAGCTGAGATGAGGAATGCAGTTTGCATTTTAAAGACTAGTCTCCTGCATGCTGAATTAAAAAACTTTGACCTTTTACATTGTTTTGAAAAAGAAGTGAACTCGGTTTTGGACATAACTCTGATCCAGGGAACCATGGATAAATATGTTAAGTGATTTTCATAATGCGGCGCAGCAGATCCCCAACACAAAACAGAGGTAAGCTAACTTTAATTTTTTGCAGCCCTTGAAGTTATCTTCTATGTTGCTATTGTTTGTTTCAAACTTTATTTTCAGACATGCTTAAAAAAAACGCACTGGTGGCACAGCAAAGCTGATGCACAGAATAAGTTACATAGGCCTACTGTAGGCTATCAGAGTTACGTCCGCACACAGCGCAGTACTGTGCTGTGATTTAGTGTTTGTTTCAAACTTTATTTTCAGACTTGTAAAAAAATGCGCACAGCACATAATAAGTTAGGTAGGCTACCAGAGTTAAGTCTGTGCACAGCACAGTATACTGTAATTAAACTTGCATGGTACTGTAATAAAATTCAGTAAATGCGGAAGCTATCCAATTCATTTCATTTTTCTCATTGAAAAACCATACAAATGGCATTTAGATGATATTCTGCATAAAAAATAAGTGAAAATAACTGTAAATTCGATTTTGATAATTAACCGCTTATAGTGTTCAAATAGGTTCTAGACCAACGTGATCACTATAGGCGGATTCCACTGTATCTGATAGGTGGAAATCATATTTTATTGTACCAAGTGGAAGTTTAAAAACCACTGCTATACATGGCTAGGTACCTTTCCACCTCATGTTACTGCACACTGCAGATCAGCTGGCTAAATTAAATGATAATGAAATCTTTCATTGCTGCAGGGGCCGTCCAATGCAGCTTCAAATATCTTTGTATTTTCTGTGTTTTTCAACCATCTTTGTATTTTCTGTGTGTTGCTTTACCTGCTCTGATGACAACTTCTCCTGGACAGACTCATTTTCCCTGTTCTTCTCAGACACACCTTTTAGTTCTTCACCTTAATCAGAGGTTTAATAGTAATTTTGATCAATAACACTTATTAAAAATGAGAACCAGAAAGAGTTAAGTAAAGCGGAGAAAGTTTTACCCAGTTTAGTGAAATCCTCTTTGAGTTTTAGATGTTCTTGAGCCTGCGACAAGAGCTCCGCCTGGCACCGCTGAAGTTGTTCAACTTTTTCGAAAAACTGTTGCTCTAAATAGGGAGAATAACCAGAATATATCAACCTATACCAGATTTAAAAAAACATGTTTTATGCATGCAAAAACTATCAGTTAGCAAAAAAAAAAAACAAAATCGATGGTGTTAGCTTTAGCTAGCCTCCGTTTTATAAAACGTTAAAACTGTAACGAAAATAATAAATATAATGAAACTATCTGATAGTATTGTTACAGGTATAAAAATATGAGGCACAATATTGACTATTGCTAATAACTGACTTGTGCTATTTACAGTCATTCCTCCTCATTAACACGTTTAACACTAACGGCTAGCTACATTAGCACTAACTCACCGCTGTCAACCCGGAACTGTTCATGGTGTGCTTTTAAAGAGTCGATTTCGTATTGCCGATCCAATAAAAGTTTCTCAAGTTTGCTTTGAAGAGTTGTCGGCAGTTTAGAGAGCTCGGAGGAATCCAGCTCCTGCAACAGCAGTGCCGCCATTTTCAATAA